GACTTCTCTCATAAAGTCTGGATCTATTTCTTAAAGCATAAGGATGAAGCTTTTAAGTGCTTCTGTGATTGGAAGAAGATGGTGGAGAATCAGTCAGAAAGGAAGTAAAGAAGCTTCGTACTGATAACAGACTGGAGTTTTGTAACAAGGCTTCTGATGGATTCTGCAAAGAAGAAGGTATTGTGCGCCACAGAACATGTGCGTACACACCCCAACAGAATGGAGTTGCAGAGAGATTAAATTGGACCATCATGAATAAAGTCAGATGTATGCTGAGTGAGAGTGGACTTGAGAAGAAATTTTGGGCTGAAGCAGCTTCAACCGCAGTTTATTTGATCAACAGGTCACCATCATCAGTCATAAAGTTTAAAGTTCCTGAAGAGATGTGGTCTTCTGTTATGCCGAGTTTGTCAGGGTTAAGAAAATATGGGTGTGTGGTTTATGTACATTCAGATGATGGGAAGCTAAACCCAAGAACCAAAAGTGGAGTGTTCGTTGGATACCCGGAAGGTGTTAAAGGTTTTAGAGTTTGGCTTCTGGACGAACTCAAGTGTGTTATCTCTAGAAACGTGGTGTTTAGAGAGGATTAGGTGTATAAAGATTTGAAGAGTAAAATGCAAGGGACTACAGAGCCACCTGATCAGGACCTGAGACTTCTAAGTTTTGACGTAAGTGAAGATGTAGAAGCAGGGGAGGGCTCTTCGCAAGGTGGAGCTAACTCAGAAAGTGGAACTGATCCAGCAGGCACTCAAAACCAGTCTCAGAAAAATGAAACAGAGGATTTATCAAACTATCAACTTGCACGAGATAGGTGCAGAAGACAGATAGTGCCACCAGCAAGATTGAGTGAATATGAGTGTGATTTCATGAGCTATGAAGAAGAATTTGAAGTTATGATGTGTTTGATCGTTGAAGATGGAGGTACATAACCAAACAATTATCAAGAAGCATTAGAAGACTCTGAGAGTGAGAAATGGATTGAAGCTGCACAGGAAGAAATGTTGTCACTAAAGAAGAACAAGACATGGGTTATGATAGATAGACCAAAGAGTCAGAGAGCTATCGGCTGCAGATGGTTGTTCAAGAGGAAACCAGGAATTGCAGGTGTAGAAGATCCGAGGTATAAGGCTAGGCTTGTAGCCAAGGGATATTCGCAAAAGGAAGGGATAAACTATCAAGAAATATTCGCTACTGTAGTCAAGCACGTATCAATCAGATATGTGTTGTCAGCTGTTGCTCATTTCGATATGGAACTTCAACAGATGGATGTCAAAACCGCATTTCTTCATGGGAATATTGAAGAATATATTGTGATGGAACAACCTGAAGGTTTTATTGATAAATAGTATCCTGATAGAGTCTGCTTATTGAAGAGGTCACTGTACGGTTTGAAACAGTCTCCACGGCAATGGAACAAAAGATTTGATGACTTCATGATTCTCAATGAGTTCCAGAGGAGTATGTATGATAACTGTGTGTACTTCAAGGATGTTCGAAAGGGAAGTGGGATTTATCTTCTGTTGTATGTGGATGACATATTGATTGCTTCTCAACTCAAGGTGGAGGTGGAGAAATTGAAGATCTTACTCAACAGTGAGTTTGAAATGAAGGACCTTGGTGACGCAAAGAAGATACTCAGAATGGAAATTGAGAGGGATAGAGCTAAAGGAAGTTTATGGATGTCACAGGAAAGCTACTTGAGGAAAGTGCTCAATAACTTCAAGATGGACCAATGCAAGCCTGTTGGTACACCTTTAGGAGCTCATTTCAAGTTGAGATTGCCCACAGAAGATGAGGTTAAAGAGATTGGAGACAGCATGAGAGGTGTTCCTTATCAAAGTGCAGTCGGAAGTATCATGTACGCGATGATTGGTACGCGTCCAGATCTTGCTTTTCCTGTGGGTGTGGTAAGTAGGTTCATGAGTAACCCAATGCATGATCACTGGAGTGCTGTGAAGTGGGTATTGCGTTATGTGCAGGGAACGATAGATACAAGATTGTGCTACAAGAACAAAGGAGATTTTGTTCTTAAAGGTTACTGTGATTCAGATTATGGAGGTGACTTAGACCAACGGAGATCAAGTAATGGGATTGTGTTTACAGTGGGAGGTAATACTATCAGCTGGAGGTCACAACTTCAGAAGGTTGTAGCTTTGTCATCTACTGAAGGAGAGTACATCTCTATGTCAGAAGCTATTCGTGAAGGTGTATGGTTGAAAGGTTTAGCAGAAGAGTGGTCAGGACTCTGTAGAGATATTTTGTGATTCTCAGAGTGCAATTGCATTATCTAAGAATGCAGTTTTTCAAGAGAGGACAAAACATGTTGCTCAGAAGTATCATTTTGGTCGAGATCTGATCAAGAAAGGCATTGTTCAAGTATTGAAGATTGCTACAGCGTATAACCCTACAGACATATTTACTAGAGTATTACCGGTCTACAAGGTGAAGGAAGCATTGAAGATGATTCGAGTTGGTAAAGAGTAAGGAGGTTGTTCATCCCTCTTGGGGTGATGAATCCGGTAAAGGGTTCAGGTATCTGGTTAAAGGTACAAGTGGGTTATAGAGGTTGATCTATGCCTAAGGTGGAGATTTGAAGTATGAAGTGTAGTCATCAGATCAAGTGGAAGAGTTCGAGTCAAGAAGCTCTAAGTGAAGATAGCTGAAGAACAAGCTAAGTGTTGGTAATACTCGGTTTGAGTCAAAGTCTTTGTACTTGTAGATTAATCCTTAGACACGTGGTGAGATCTCAAGGCTGAGCGTGGATTTCACGTGTGTAAATGACCAAGTATATAAGGTCATCAGCTTTACTCTCTCAGGTAGTTAGGTGGTTATTGTTAGTTACAGAGATAGATTGAGATCAATTCGCGGTGTCGATAAGTGTAATCGGAGCTCGCTTGTGAGCAGTTAGTTCTTGCTGGTTCAATCCCAACTCCGGAGAGATATAGCGGCTACACCGAGTTAACGGTGTATTGCGGTGAACTCCGGGTCAACATATCGTTGTCTCATGCTTGCAGTTAATCGGAATTAAGATTAGTGCGGTGGCTTGGTTTTACAGTTTTGTAGTTCTGTAATAAATGATATCAATTTATTTAGTAAAGATAATAAATGAAACTGTTAGAATTAATTAAAATAGAAAGAAAATCTGTAAAAAAAAATCACTTAAATTAAGTAAGTATTATTGTTATACTATTATCCATGTTTCCAAACACATGTTCATTTAGTCTACTATTCTAGTTTCCAAATAACTTCATTGTATACTTCAACTTTAATAATATAGATAAGTTGAAGTTGAGTCCAAAAAAAAGACATGGTCTAGTGGGTTCGATTGCTTTCTTACGTAACCAAAGTTGGTTATTATGAAATTAAATGTTGAAGTTACACTTTTATTCATTTATAGAAAACCAATTTGGATGCTCTGCATTTTTCTTAGGGTGAAAAGGATGTTTTGTATTGCTCAGCTATTCCAGTATTAGTTTTTCATTCCAGTGGGTCTATGTTTTTTATTTGGCAAAGCATTATAAATTAGTAATTTCAGGTTGTCAATTAATTGGTAGAGTTATCTACATAGTAAATACACATTTCTCTAAATACAACATTTTTCTTAAAATGATGAGACAAGAAAAAGACATAATGGTCAAAATAAAGCTGATGTCATTTTCAAAGTAGTGATTGTATTTTAGATCTGATGAAGCATATACTTATACCTAAAAAAATCTGACACATCAAAGTACAAACCCATGTTTATTGGATTTCCAAAACACAGTCAAACCAAGATCATAGTTTACATGATGATTTATTTAAATAACACACATTATTCTCTTGTTAATTCCCGTGCATCAGTAATTTTAAAGTCGATAAATGTTTTTGTTATTTTCTTCTTTACTCATCAATTCTCTAGAGTCTTGAGTCTACTAAAATGATCAAAGTCATCATCAAACTAATAAAACCCTCCTACTCCGTTCATCTTCAATGTCTCCTTCATTCTGATTTTAGTTGCCTCTTCCAATACCAAACTCGGTTCATTCAATGCAACATTGCAAGTTATGTGAAAAAAAAACAATTTTTTAAAAATACATTAATTTTATAAAAAGAAAAAGTTAAAAGGAGGACACCAAATCCAAAAAGTTCATCACAACTACAAAGTGTAAATGAACTGGACATCATCATTTAAGACAACTTCTCTAAATATCTTCATCTTCAATTTATTTTCCATTCTACAATAAACTTTTAGAGTATACTATAGAATATGGTAAAATACTAAAAGGACAATTCTCTAAAATATCTCTCTTTTAATTTTTATTACAAAAATAGACTTCAAAAATTAAAATAACCAAAATAACACTTTTTATATTGAAAATTTTATGTTTTCTGAATTTTTTTAAATTCGAAACCCTATCCCCAAAACCCCACTCCTCAACTCTAAAAAAAAAAAATTTAGGATTAGTTAACCCAAGGAGTATAAATGTATATTTAATAAAACATTTAAGTGTTATTTTGCTCATTTTAATTGTTAAGGTATATATTTGTGATAAAAAAAATTTTTAGGTCTATTCTAATCATTTTCTCATACTAAAATGCAATTATTTCATAAATAAGTTTTTAAATATCAATTTTTTCTTCACTCTAAAAAATATATAAAAAAATAAAACTGAAGTGAACCTTAGTTCCATTATATAATTCTCCATTTATAAGGAAAAAAAATTGAATAATACATTGAAAATATTCTTGTGCATTCCCGGGGGTGACTTAATACATCCTAACTAAGTCATATGCTTAAATTTATTTCATTAAAATAAAGAATAAAAACATAAATCAATAAAATAAAATCCCGGGGGTGACACCTCAAAACCAAAGATTTGTTTCTCTAATTTTAATGAATGTAGAATGAAATCAACAAAAGTAGTAGTATAAAATACACAGATCGTCTCTCCTCTCTCTCTCTCTCTCTCTCTCTCTATAATCTCTGGTGTTAGCTAGCTCACACGCTTTCGCCTAAAACTCAAAAACCTCCACTTTCTCGTCTCATTTCTCGGAATTCGCGAAACAGAAACCAAAAAAAAAAAAGAAGAAAAAAACTGGGTCGGGTCTTCCGAGAAAAATTATAACCCTAAATTTAACAAGAGAGAAAGTTTCTTCCTTTACTTTCTCTAACCTCTTCTTCTTCGATGGATTCTAGAGAACTCCACCAACAACAGCAACAGCAACAGCAGCAGCAGCAGCTACAACCACCTCCTGGGTTCCTAATGGGCTCCTACAATCGAAACCCTAACGCCGCCGCCGCCGCAGCCGCAGCGTTAATGGGTCCCACATCCACATCTCAGGCGATGCATCACCGCTTACCTTTCGGCTCTCTCTCACCGCATCAACCTCCTCAACACCATCAGCAGCAGCAGCAACAACAGCAGCATCTTCACCCTCATCAGCATCATCCTCAGCCTCAGCAACAGATGGATCAGAAGACGCTTGAATCTCTGGGATTCGAGGGGTCGCCTTCCTCCCAGCAGCCGATGCGATTCGGGATCGAGCAGCAGCAGCAGCAGCAGCAACAGGCGCAGAAGAAGAAGAGAGGGAGGCCGAGGAAGTATGCTGCTGATGGTAACAACATTGGTCTTGCTTTGGCTCCCACTTCTCCTGCTTCTAATTCCTATGGTGGTGGAACTGAGGGTGGTGGTGGAGATAGCGGCGGTGGAGGAGGAGGAGGAGGTAATGCTAACTCTTCCGATCCACCTGCTAAACGGAACAGAGGTCGTCCTCCTGGCTCCGGTAAGAAGCAGCTTGACGCTTTAGGTACTGTCTGAAAACTCGAGATCTATCTTTCTCTCCTTGTCTACAATTCTCGATTTTTACTTTGGTTTCTGTGTTTTGTCTTGAGCAGGAGGAACAGGTGGAGTTGGGTTTACACCTCATGTCATTGAGGTTAAAACTGGAGAGGTAATGTGTCTTGTCTTGTGTAGTAAATCTTTAATCTTTTTTTTTTTGGTCGGAATTTTGCTTTGTCTTTTGATGTTTTGGTTAAACTTTTATGTCAGGACATAGCTATGAAGGTAGTGGCGTTTACGCAACAGGGGCCACGCGCGATCTGTATTCTCTCAGCTACTGGAGCTGTATCTACTGTCATGCTTCGTCAAGCTAACAATCCTACTGGAGCTGTTAAGTTTGAGGTAATAACCTTGTTCAGTACTTGCTTCTTGGTCTGATTTGAGTTCTGGTCTTTTATTGAGCTGTTTCTGTGTGTTGCAGGGTCCATATGAGATCATTTCTATGTCAGGTTCTTTCTTGAATACTGAGAGTAATGGTACTGTGACTAAAACTGGTAGCTTGAGTGTATCTCTGGCTAGACCAGATGGTCAGGTTGTCGGTGGTTGTGTCGCTGGGATGCTAGTAGCTGGATCACAAGTCCAGGTTACTCACCTTTTCATACTCAAGTTGGTTCACAGAATTATTTATATACTGATTTTTGATACGGGTGGTGTTTTATAGGTTGTTGTTGGAAGCTTTGTACCAGATGGCAAGAAGCAGAAACAAAGCGCAGGGCGTGTTCAGAATACACCCGAGCCAGGTTCAGCACCAGCCAATATGTTGACCTTTGGTGGTGGTGGTGGTGGTGGAGGACAAGGAAGCCCTCGGTCTCAGGGACAGCAACATTCAAGTGAGTCATCAGAGGAAAACGAGAGCAACTCTCCATTGCACCGTGGTAATAACAATAACAACAACAACAACAATCATCATGGACTATTTGGGAACTCTACACCGCAACAACTTCACCAAATGCCTATGCAGCAACAGATGTACCATCACCACCTCTGGCCTGGCCACAATCCTCAGTAAAAGTTGAGATTGTTCATGGCTCGTGCTGGCAGGGTTTGCTTTTCTGTTCGTTTTACACATCTCTCCATCAGAATTATCCATAAAGTAGATTGAGCTTTATTACTCTCTCTCGTCTTCTTCTTCCTCCTCCACTTCTCTTCTCTTCAAATTTAATTTTGGTTTTTAGATAAACAGAGAGAGAGATGTTAAGTAGGTTTCAGTTCATCTTTTTAGTTTGTTTCTTAGTTACTTTTGATTGTGATAATCAGAAAGACCTCCTTTTTACTCTTTTTTTACATTATTGCTATGATTAAAGAGGAGATAACAGCCATCATAGTGACCCAAAATCTCATTAGAAGAAAAAGAACTGTTGGACATGCTATAAGAACCTCTAAGTCCTATCCTTTAGCCAAACTAAAACGTTCCTACTACACAAACTCCATGGAGCAAGACGGGAACCAACCAAAGACATGAGCACCGAGAAACACCATAGTATGCTCCAAAACATCAAACCTATACAAAATTCTAAATTTATACAGAAGCTTTTACAGAAGCCTTTTTTACTCTTCTTCTTCATGTTAAGTCTTTAGGCTTTGCTAAACCGCAGAAACCATAGCTGGTGTTGCAAACGTCAAGTCTTCTTCTTTTTCTTCATCATCCTCTTCCTCTGCTTCCCACATGAAATGTGCGTATGATCCCATAACCATACTGTAAAAGTTACCAACAAACACAAACCTTTACATTTTAAACGCTAAGCTTTGGGGATTACCAAACTGATCAATGATCTATATATAACATACCAATCATTAGGAGAAGCATTAACAGCTTGATCAAAGTAACCTCGAGCTCTCTTCTCATCTCTCTTAAAAATAGATTTCATCACGAAGTTTCTATTTTACTTTTGTTTAACCGGTTTGTAATGATTCTTCCACATGTAATATAGAGTTGTTAATCAGCTGACTTTTGTTTCACATCAGCCGTTGGATCATCTGACTTTTTTTACTTCACGATCTCTCGCCTATTTCTCGCTACGTCAGCTATTTCTTATGATGGACTGAAAGTTGAGTTTTCTTCAAACCGTCCGATGCGATGACCATAACCTGGGGGAAGAAACAGCTGCCAAAGGATAAACACGTGTGTAGGCTTTGCACATGAAGGCCCACGAGACAACTGCTCTCTTAATGACACGTGAAGGGAGTGGTGGGACCCGATGCGGCTTCGTACTTAGTTGAGTCTAGCATATTTTACTCTTGGATGGATTTTGTACATGCGCCCAGAACTACGAAACCATATCCTCACTATACTGAATACCATTGGCGAGTCAGAATCAAACAAGTACCGAAACTCAAACTTACATTTTTTGGATTATGTCAATTTTGGCACCTCATACATGGTGTTGGTAGAAATAGAATACAAAGCTACTTCATATTATATGCACTTTTGGTTTGTCTGGAGTTGTTACAATTGAAATGCAAGTGATTACTGCACAAGGATTATTCTCTATCAGCGATAGGTTTGACGTATAATTCTGTCTTCATTGTTGTAGTACAATTATCAGCTATTACTAGGGCCTGGTACAAATATTTAATACTCCTTATACTCAATATTTGACTCAGCTCACTTTGAAAAAATAAATATTTGTTATAATCAAGTCGAGTAACAAGTAAACAGATTTTATTACTCGTAAGTACAAATCAAATATAAAATTTATTTATATTTTTAATTACTGGCTTATTACTTGGTTAGTTATTTGTTATTATTTACTTGTCCCATTATTTATTATATATTACTTGGTTTATCAAATATTTAATATATATTTTATTAATTAATTAAAATTTATATATTACATTTATTGGTGACTATAATTATCATTGTTTGTCTTTTATTCAGTACTTGAGGGATACATAATCTTTTAAAATTAGTATTTATTATGATATTTATAAGTATAAAATAAATATTAAATATTAAATAAATTAATTATTTGATATTGTTTGTTTGTTACTTGTGTTTGTTAATGAACAAAGATATATTTTCCCACATCATAGTAAAATAATTCATTTATATTTCTATTTTCTTATATACATCAAATATAAGTGCTATATTTATATAAGCATCTTGAAGTTTTCTCTTTTTTATATAGTCTATTTTCCGAAAGACTTAAATACACAAAACAATGACAGATTATTTATATAATAAATTTATTTAACTTTAAATTATAATGAACTATCAAATAGTTTACCAATAATTATGAATGAATTTATAAGTAATTTAAAAATAACAAGTAATAAAATAAGTCAAATAATTTACAAATCCATCTATTTTTGCAAGTACTTGAAACTGCAACTGCAATTACTTGTTTTTAGCAAATCAAGTACAAGCTAAAATATGTATCCCCTAGACTATATTTGCGAAGTGATTTTGAAGAAAAATATGACATGTCATAGTCTCGAATCACTCTCACCAACAAAAAAATATGACATGGCAACATGGCGTATTTGAAACCCTAATATGACATGCATCGATTTATGATCCAGTCATTGTCAGCTCCATATAAAAGTGATTTCATTAATATAGTTATGAAGATTTATGTTCTTATTTAATTCATATATGACATAAAAAAAAATAATTTCCTCAAATAAGAACCATTTCATTTGCTATAAAAAAATGAATTTACATTAATTTTGGTATATTTCACAAGTTATCAAACAAATAAAATAGAAACGTTTGAGAATATCTTTAAAAGGAACACAAACCTTGACCTATAAAAACATCTTATGAAAAAGCACTCAACATACGAACCAAATCAATACAATGAAGCGTTCAACCACAGAACCAAACGACCAAAACACAATACATGGACATCCATATCAAAAGCGTAAGTGAAATATGAGATAAGCACAAACTTATATTACAGATTAAGCATGACAATATTAATCATAGGTGGAAGACCAAGAAAACATCAACCTTCTCCAAACAAAGCACATGATGTGAATATGGATGAACAACATGAACAAATAACCGATAACGCCAAAGCACCACCACCTCTACAAAAGCATAAGTCTATTTCTGTTTATATCCAAGATATTCTCTACATATTCTCTCCATTGATGTTTATCAATTCAATATTAATCATAGGTGGAAGACCAAGAAAACATCAACCTCTTCCAAACGAAACAGATGATGTGAATATGGATGAACAATTAATTGATAACGCTAAAGCACCACCACCTCTACAAAAGCAGTCTATTTCCGTTTATACCCAAGATATTCTCTACATATTCTCTCCATTGATGTTTACCAATTTTGTTTTTTCATAACTTCAGGTGGCAGACCAAGAAAGAATAAATCATCTAAAAACCCCTAGAACATCATCTACGATCAACCTTACTAATCAAACCTCGAGGAATGCAAGCGATGAAGAACAAGGTAACAACATATATTTAAAACAATGCAATGTTCAAATCATAGCCTAAAATACATATATGTTTAACACCGTCTTTATGAAACAGATTTTTTGTTAACCACTACCAACACAGAAAATTTCATGTCATTCATAGCCACTAATTCTGAGCATGAATCTGATTCAGGAGGTAATTAAATTCAGTACCGATTTGGTACTCTTAACAACTCTACAAATATTTGAATACTTATTTTAAAACAATTACAAATTTCAATCACTCTGATGATGATATCGACATTAATCATGATAATGAGAGTGAAGTACATCAAAATAAAAATTTCAAAGAAAACCAGATTGCTTTGAAAAGTTTTAGCACAAACATGGATGCAGCTAGATCAAACTAGGAGAATCAGAGAATGGTAATTATTTCACATTATTTTTCTACGTAATCATTTTTTAAGACTACCCTTCAAAATTCATAATCTATAATTTATTATTCCAAAAGCTAAATTTGTTTCGTGTTTTCTTAATATCATGTTACTATGATGACGGTGATCCTTTATATATATATATATGTCAATATTGTAAAACATACATGTAGTTGGGTGAACGGATTAACAAACGAGTGAAAAAGAAACAATCTGTGTTCACTATGTGCTGTAAACATGGCAAAGTCAAGCTCCCACTACTTAAGACTCCACCAGCCACATTGCTAGCATTATTTTACAATGGAGATGAAAAAAGCAAATACTTTCGTGAATTCATAAGAGCATACAATATGATGTTTTCATTCACATCGCTTGGTGGGAAGGTAACCATTCTCTGAACAATGGAAAATAACCTTATGTATTTCAGATATGCAGTGAGAATTATCATAGGATAGATGGTCTTTTGCCTGGTCCAACAAATATCCAGCATTTTTGCAACTCTATATACACGATACCGTGAATGAGATACAAAATAGAAAATCTTACAGGTAAAATATGAATATATATATATATATAATATAATAAATTCAGTTGCGTTTTAATTATTATATTGAAACATATTTTATTTATAACTTTCTGAAACGATTTATGTAATAAAACAGGATATGCTGCAAGTTTGGATGAATCGGTAGTTGGACTTCTTAAAAAGATGTTAGATGCTCACAATCCTCATGTCAAAGCCTTAAGATCAGCAAGAGAGAAATTTGATGTCACCAAACAAACCGAAGGTTTGAGATTAAGGCTTCCAAGTGAAAGATATGCTGATGGAAGAACGCATAACCTCCCTACTGCAGATGAAGTTGCAGGTTTAATTCCAGGTGACTTCAACATTGGTTTGAACATCCGTGACATTATTATTGAGAGTAGATCAGGGAAATTACAACAGATTAATGAACTACATCCTGCTTATTTGCCACTCCAATATCCACTACTATTTCCTTATGGTGAAGATGATTTCTGATTGGGAATCGACATTGGTTTTCTTGATACAGCTGGCCGAAAAACAAAACTGTGACAATGCGAGAATATTTTGCTTTTCATATACAAGAACGAGAAGGAGAATTTCCTACTATAATGATGGCAGGCCGATTGTTTCAACATTTTTTTGTAGATGTCTACACCATGATTGAGACAAATAGACTGCAATATTTTTTCTTTAATCAGAAAAATCTCTGGTCTGAACAAACGTCGACAATATTCAAAAAGCAGCTGACAAAGGGGATTATAATTTAGCAGACCAATGGAAACAAATCTTTATACCTTCCTCTTGCACAGGAGGTAAAAGGTATATGATGCAACACTATCTTGATGACATGGTAACGTGCAAATATTATGGTTATCCGGATGTTTTCATTATAATTACTTGTAATTTTAAGTGGCCAGAAGTTACAAGGTATCTTCAGAAACACATCTTAAAATCAGAATATGTTGTTGGGTTTTAAAAATTAAACTTGATAGTATAATACAACAT